GTAAGTATAATAATAATGACCATAAAAATCAGAAAAGAAGCTCAAATAAGAGCTTAGCTCTGTAAATGATGTAACAGAATAATAAATAAGGAAAAAAGAAAAACAGAGAAAGACCTAGATAATAATGATCATTGCCTCTATAAAATGAACAACATTTAAAGCTCTCTGATTTCATATACGTCTAATTTGTGGCAGTCCTCACCTTAAAAACACCCTGCCCTTTCACTGATGTCAAACTCAAAAGCTAGATGTCTCTCGATTTTTAATAAGGCTAGTGGTGATAGTACTTCTATGTACCCTTTTGAGATGATTTAAAAATAATATCCCTGAAAGCAACCACTTATGGCTTGTGCCTTTTCTATTCTCCCGTTCCTATTAGCACACAATGTTCTTGCTGGCTGAACTGTGTCCCTGAGCTGCTCACATGGAGACAGGCTTAATGTAGCTAGGTTACATGCTTGCAGAAATTGCAAAGCTCTGAGAAAACCATCCAGGATGGTTTGGTGAATTGTTTTCTAAAATCACTCTGAATGTGTAATGAACTGAATGTTTTTGACAAGTGGCTCAACATTAAGTATAGGCAGAGAAAATCAACCTCTGGAGAATTAAATTTTGTTTGTCATTAGTGCTTAAATTTAACACGTATGTTTTTGCTAGATGAGGAACTTTAATTGCTTTCACTGGCTTTTGTAGTGTGTGTGTGTGTGTGTGTGTGTGTGTGTGTGTGTGCGCGCGCACGCGCGTATGTGTTGTATGTACAGTGCATATGTATGGTGTATATTGAGTGTGTTGCTACTTGCTAATGTAAATGTGGAGGCCAGAGCAAAACATTTGGTCATTTCCTCTATTGCAATTTACCTTAGAACCAGTAGCTATCCTTTTTGAACAGGCTTGTCAGCAAGGTTTTAGGACCTGCATTTTTCTGACCTCCAGGTACAGAATACACATTCATGTGTCTGTATTTTTCTGTGAATTCTAAGGTTCCATATGCAAGTTCTCATGCTTGTAGAACAACATTTCTACCCACCAAGTCATTTTCTCAGCCCCTCAGTGGCTATGTTTATTTCAAAATCTTTTCTTCTACTTTAAACATTATAGAAATCAATTCAGTTCAAAGAATAAAACACAGGAAAATAAACATTTCAGAAATATGCTTGCAGGAGTAAATAAATGAGTTGTTATTGGTTGTTTTTCAGGCAGCAATGATAGGTAACTCATACATTATAGATTTAAAATGGACTGTGCTTTTCAGTTTCTTACTAGGTTGGTATTTTTGAGGGGCTGCTCACAAAGCCCCACATGTAATTGAGAAGTTTTTGATAGCAGTGGACTTTGGGGGATTGGAAAGCCAGTTTTCTTCAGGGCTGAGACTCCTAGTAGGTGACTCTCAACCTTCCTATTGCTGTGCACCTTTAACACGGTTCCTCATGTTGTGGTGACCCCCACCCATAAAGTTATCTCATTGCTACTTCGTAACTGTAATTATACCTCTGCTATGAATCATAATATAAATATCTGAGGGCAGGATATTTAATATATGATCCCCAAGGGAGTCATAACTCACAGGTTGAGAACTGCAGCTCCAGAAGTTGGTCCTACACTCTGGTATATATTTCTAATTCTGGAAAAGTTGAAGCAGCGTGCAGGGGGGTGGATTTGATCAAACCATGTTTTATATAAGTACAAAAACTGTAATATATATATATATATATATTTCAAAATTCACAGTTTATACATTACTGCAATAGACACTTATGTTCAGAATTTAATAATTTAAAAATTATTACAACTTTCTAAAATTGAAATACAATCACAATTAGGCTGTTTAGCTATGAAAACTTAGCCAAATCTTGTGATTGTCTTCTAAAAGGTATATACCATATAAAATCATAAATTTAAAGTGAGCTGGTGATTGTGTTAACACTGAAAATGATTTTTCCTTTGTCTGAGACAGGGTTTCTCTGTGTAGCTCTGGCTGTTTTGGAGCTCACTCTATATACTAGTCTGTCCTGGAACTCAGAGATCTGCTTGCCTCTGCCTCTGCTGCCCAATTGCTAGTATTAAAGGCAAGCACCAACAAGCCCAGGTTCAAGGAATTCTGAAAAACTGTACATATTAGACTTTTAGAAAATTTGTAACCTGAATATGCTCTGATTATGTAATATAAAATGAAGTCATATAGACAATCATAACAGCTAAACAGTAATTCAATTTTCATTTAATGAAGTTACAGTATTGCTTCTGTTAAAGATGTATTTAATTGTGTCTACCTCCCCTCCTAATTTGTCCCCAGAATCACAAATGATACCTTTTATTCTTATAAAAGGTTTATTTATGCCAGGTTTAGTGATACATACCTTTAGTTCTAGCACTCTGGAGGTAGAGACAGATGATGAGTTTAAGTCTTGCCTAGTAGCTAGTCCCAGGCTAGCCTGTTAGTATTCAGGCATCTGTACTGGTCTGCTCTTGGCATCCTGACAGGATATGTCCTCAGCTGCAGCTACGTAGAGCATCTTCTGTGCACAGTCACTACGTTCCCTTATTCCTTTCTCTCTCTTTCTCTTTCCCTCTCCCCCTCTCTCCCACATCTCTGCCTCTCTTCTCTTCTGCTACTCCTGTCCCCAGAAGCTGGTCACCACTCCCTTCCCCCCTTTTCCCATTTCCTTTCCCCTAATAAACAAAACCCCCCTACATGAAAAAAGGAACCAATACAGAGAAGAATTCAGACTAAATCTTTACCTTCTATTGTTTATTTTAAATCTCATCCAATATAGAAGGATTTTTTTTATTTCCAAACATTTCTATTGAACCCCCCAATACCCTACCCTACTACTGATAAGAAAATAGGCAGCTAATCGTTTGATTATTTTTTTTCAAATTAATTACCTATATAAGTTATTTCTAAATTAAAAACCTATATTTGAAAATTTTCAAATATATTTCTGGTAAAGTAAACCGATTGTTTTAAAGAAATCTTCAAATCTCAATTTATTTTAAAGGATTAATATTCAGTTATATATGAAAAGTAAAATTTTGTTCATCTTCAAAGTATCACATATTACTTTATTTATGAATGGATGAAGTTCTACAACATGCCCTGAAAATGAATTAGGGAAAATTCAAAGAAAAACAGGAGAGGGAATCACACAGCAAGGTTCTTTATTATGCAACAGCAAATATTTCTTACAATTTGAAGTGCAGGTTTCCATTGGCAAAAAAAAAATCAGTAAATAGTAACTGATTGCCTTTGTTCGGCCTTGGTACACAAATAAAGAAATAAAAGATTGCAGTTTACAATCTCTGCTCTCAGATCACTTATAAGAGAGTTGGAACCATACATGCAAGCAAAAGAACTGCACAGATATGTAGCAAAACTGTATAATTTGCGGAATGAACCTGCATAATCTCTATAAACAAAAATTTGACTATTTTGTATATCTAACTCACAAGTAATTCTTTTCAGCAATTTAGGTTTGGTACTGAACAGCATGTAGTTTGTCAACACCAATGCAAAATACATGTCAGATGTTTAGGGAAAAGGAAACGTGGCTCAATACCAATCCTGGGCTAACCTATCCTGGCCAGTTTTGAGGAAGGCCTGGCTGCTTTATCATTCTCAGTATTCTCACCTAAGAACAAGTCCAATGCACCTGTAGAGCATCCCACTACCTCTGTTAATCTGAATGGCAAAGTTCTTCACTCAGACCTATCTTTTTTAATCCCCAGCTCCTCTATTGGAAAATCATACAGCATTGTCACAATCACATATTATTACCTTTAGAGGCACAGAATGAGAGGCTTTAGTAACACACATATCCCACTTTTAAGTATGAATCTTTGAAGCTCACAAAATAAAATCTAATTTGGAGCTTATAAAGAGGGGGTGTTTCTTTCACAGTGAGCTGGATGGGCTCATTTTCTTCCTTTGCATTTTTTTCTTTTAACTTAACTTATAGGCAGATTTTGGAAAGTTTAAAATATGCTCAAATATAACATTTGGTAAGAAAAATAGCAACAGCAAAAATATCCAGTCTATACCTTAGAGCAGTGTATTTTCTGCCCTCTCTGCCATACATTCTACATTTATACTTAATATCCCTGGATCAGATGATGGCACTGAAACTCTGTGTAAGTTACTCCAACCACAAACATTCAAATATATCCACAAGTCTTGATACTACTAAGGCAAGAAGTGAAAACAAGTACATTCTTTGATCAATAAGAAGACAGAGCATAAAACTAAAATAAGGCTTGAAAGAAAAATACTGATTTTTGGATTAATTTTGCAAGTTCAAATTAGCAGAACACTTGAACACTTGAATACCTAAACCGTCCTCATCAACTGAGATTCTGATAGATACACAAGATTCTATGACAACTATTTTCAGATAATAAACTTTTTAGAAATGTGCGTTTGCACCAACAACATACAAACTATATACACCATGATCACAGTTCATGAGTGACATATTTCCAAAAGTAGGCAATCTGGAACATGGAATGTATTTTACAATTGGAACAATGCCGTAAAACTATGGTTAGCGCTCCACAAGAGATGACTAAACTCTGTTTATTAGAAAATCTTGTTCATATATCACACATAAGTGATGAAAACTAAAAGCACTGTCTTTAAACCAGCTAATAGTAAAATAACACAACATATACACAAGTCTAACATTATAACGGGGATATCTTCCACATATAGACTATATGGATCACTCACTCAAAGACGGCACAACTAAGAATTGGTGGAAATTATCTGTATGAACAGTTCAAAGAATGGTGGAGAGGTGCAGAAAATTTCTCAAAGCGACTTCTGTCAGCTCCATCTGTCTTCTCCTCTCTTTCTGCTAAGAAATACACCGGTTAATCAGGGCCCGCTCTGCCTGAAAGAAAAAAAGAGAGAGAAACAGAGTTAAAACAGCACGTTGAAAACGAAAACGGCAGCGTTCAGTTAGATTGACCAGAAAGATAAATGCATACTGTGAGTTCAGCTAACCTTAGCTCCAGAGGCCTGCATAGTTGCCATGGAGGCCTGAGGCCAGTGGGCCCCCACCCACGAAGAGCTTCATCTCTGGCCAGTTGTAGCAGTGAGTGTAGAGTGCGTTGGGGAAATCTACACCAGCAGCGTAATTCTTTAAGAAATCATTCTGGTTGATCCAGCCGCTGCCACAGGTGAGCTTGAGCTTCCTTCCAGAGGGCACAGGAAACATGTCTGGACTGGCTACAGATCTTTGCTCGAGGAACTTCTGGGCACGGATGTCATAGAAGAGCAGAGAACCGTGACCTGTTCCCACGGTGACAATATGCTGGTGGACACTCAAGGAATGCACACCAATGCCTCCTTCTCGGGAGCAGAATGGCCGGATGTTCTGCTGGCTTTGGCGAGTATCCAGGAATGAAACATGACACTGGGATCCGACAGCATAGAGGCACAACTCATCACAGTAGGTGAGACACATGTTCTCCCTGGAGTAGGGCAGCTTTAGGGACATCAGCCTGTACAGGGAGCTCCTGGCTTTCCACAGGTGGAAGTAGCCATCCAGAGACACTGCTCCCAGCTCCTGGTTTTTGTTGCTGTACGCAAGGGCTCGAACTTTGCGGTTACCAGGATTGGTAGCGGATTTGGGAATGGCCTCCATATCTGTAGGACGGATGTGAGCATACACTGGAAGGCCCGCATCCTTGTGCCAAGCGATGCTGCCATTGAACATGTCGGGATCCACCTGCCAGAGTGCCAGGGTGCCATCGCGGGAACCAGTAACAGCCACAGTGTCACTCATCCATGCGATGGCGATGATCCAGTCCCTGTGGCCTTCGCAATCTCCTAGGCACACGGGATCCAGCGTGGGCAGCTGGTAGACGGCAAGGCTGTTGGGGTTTTCCCCTCCAGTGGCCATGAGGGTCTTGGAGGGATTCAGCTCCACAGCATGAATGCCACAGGAGGGCGAGCCACCGGAGAGGTCGGGCACCCTGTCGCGCATCAGAGGAATGCGCATGATGTGGTCGGTCTTGACATCGACCACAAAAAGCGTGTTGCACTTGGTGCCACACACCACCTGCCTGGCATTTAGCCACTGCGATGCAAACACCTTGTTGAGGGGGCCAAGCGTCAGCTGGCGCTCCCTCAGCAGCTCTGGCAGCCTGAGGACCCCATAACTGCGCAGGTCGTCCTCAAAGCCTGCCAGCCCCGGGTGGCCCTCTTCGCCCAGCGCCCGGCCCTTCAGGTAGTGCACGAAGGAGCGGTGAGCCATGGGCAGCCGCGGCTTCTTGACCAGTAAAAGCGACCCCTCGGCTTGGCCTGCTTCGGCTGTCGCCATCACCGCTGAGGGGCCTGGCGACGAAGAGCTCCCCGCACCCTCCTCTGCCTCGGCGGCTTTCCGCTTCCTGCTACCTGTTAGATGAGGGGCCATGGTGGTCGGCGAGCGGACAGAGGGCCCTGCGGGCTGTGGCGTCTCCTGTATTGCTGGAGAGGGCGGCGCCGCGGTGTCGGCCTGAAGCTTGGAATCGCTGGGAGCCCGAGGCTAGGCGACCTAGCGGCAGGGAGCCTGCGGAGTCCTGAGCGCGTGGGCGGCAAAGGAGGTGAAAGCTGCGTGACCCGGCGAGCAACGCGCGGTTGGGCGGAAAGAGCCGAGCGAGCTCGGAAGGATCGTTGCTAGGGCCGAAGGTGCGGCAGGAGCTAGAGTGGAGCAGCAGCTGCCAGCCAGCTCAGCGAGTGGACTTCTGGGCCTTGAGCGACAAGTCCCTGGAGGATTAGGACAGCAGGGCGGGAGGGGCAGGCTCTGAGGATGGTGTAGGGAGAGGAGGCGGGACGGTGCTGACTATAAATGGCAGAAGCGATGGGCGGTGTGGAAGGGTGAGCATTAGTGTTGGGAGATCATGGCAATAGGGGGTAGCTCATGCCCAGCCGGAAGGGGGCGGTAGGTAGCAGTAAAGCCAAGAAGATAGAAAAGCCTTAGGAAAGCAAGAAAGGGGCTTGGAGGAACAGGGAGACATGACTCTAGGGCCAGTAGTCCAGCACCCTCCGGATCCAACAAGTCAAACTCAGTCACCCCCTCCTCCGCAGCCAAATATCCTTCAAATCTCTACTGCAATATAATCTGAAACCTAATATGTAGTCAACCATGGGATGAGACAGAGCCGTGATCTTTCGAGTCTGAGGAAGAAAACAAAAGTGTGCTCATAAGACTCTTTACTAAGGTCTTATATTGAACTAGGCAGAAAATAAAAGTGTTTGAAACTAGCAGTTCCTGTTCGTTTTAACAGCCCTTCTGCTGTTGGTAACTTATTTTCCATGAATCACTTTCCCCCTCCTCAAATGTTCTGTGCTTCTGCAACAGAATCATCTGAGCAGACCATGTCAAAAGACAGAGCATTGGACCCCACATCCTGCCTGCCTATGATGATGCCCAGGCCTTGATGACTGACCACAGTCTTTAACGTCAGGTGGGTTGTGCGAATTGGCTAGGAAGAAGTGAAGTTGGGTATTTTGGAGATACTGTCATCTCTTTTAGCTATGAGAACTAAGGAAGTGGGGGTAGAAAACAGCAAGTGAGGAGCTGGGGATACAAGTTCCCATCATTAGTTTAAGTGGTCCATGGCCTTAGAGAACACTGAATCTCTGAGTTAGGAATAGGAAGGATGGTCAGGATTTTGAGAACATACGGAAACAGAGAATATTCTAGAAGAAAGTAAGCAATGGAAAGAACTATAGTGGTCTAGCTCATAGAAGCTCAGGAGTCAGAAAGGAAAATTTCATATAGTTTTTTATTTTATTTTGTTTTGTTTGTTGTTTGTTTTTGCTTCAAGATCTCACATCTCATGATGAACATACTTGGTAGTTAAGTGTGACTTTAATTAATTAGGGATGCATTACATAGAGGCTCTTGCATAATACTGACTCTAAATATCTTATATACGCTCCACAAAATGTAGTTTGTTGAGAATGGGAGCCATGAATTCATTTTTCTGATTAATCATGTCGTTTAAGAACTATTTCATAGTGTTCCCTCCCCCAAATGCCCCAAAACAGTTTGCTAATTTTATTTCTACTACTTTTTGCACTTTCGCTTCAAGGGTAAATTCCATGTACAAGCCATGTGTTGTTCTTTCCCACCATCTCAGTTAATCTGTCTCATCTTTGTACTCCCTAACATGCTCCAGTCTCAGAGTTCTGACCCTTTTCTACGTTATCCTTTTTATGGCAAAGGAAAAGGTGAAATAGGTTGCTCTGTTCAGTGAGAAACTATAGATAGTGCCTCATGGAAGAAACACGGAGACTCAGTTTGTTCCACTGTTACATATGAGATGAATAAACATTTCAGAAATAAGTGAGCTATGTGAACAGGTACAAGCTGTGTATATGAATAACTCCTGAATTTTAGTGTTCATCAAAATGACAGGAGTCATTTCAAAAGTTGGCACCCCACCATAGATGGATCCCTAAATATTTTGATGCAGGTGATTTGGAACATTCTTTGTTTGTTTGTTTTCAAGACAGGGTTTCTCTGTAGCTTTGGTGCCTGTATTGGAACTAGCTCTTTTAGACCAGGCTGGCCTTGAACTCACAGAGATCTGCCTGTCTCTGCCTCCCCAGTGCTGGGATTAAAGGTGTGAGCCACTACCACCCGGCAACTTGGAACAGTGTTTGAGAAACACTGATGTATGTTCTTTTCTTTCAGGTGGAAGCAGGAAGTCTTACATTTAGGAGATAGCTCTCTACAGTATGTCACAGTGTTGCTTCTAAATTGGAAGCTTTACATGTGAGTACTGGGAATGACTTGACAAACAAGATGGATTATTGTGGTATAGGTGAGGGAATTAAACCTATAGAGTATTAAGTATGCAGAATATGTTATAAATTATTGTTATCTTACACTTTGCAAAACTACCATACGAACAGTCATTGTTATAAGACTTTTGTAATTCCTATCCTGCTTAAACAGCTCCTACAATCCCTATTGTATAGGTCAGCAAACTGAGATATAGAAAGATTCTGATTTTCTCTGAAACCAATGAATTGTTAAGTGAACTGAAGTAGGCCAAATCCAGGTTTCATGTTCTTATTCAATTCTTGGGTGTTGGCCAAATGAATGAAAAATTCTTAGAATGACAGAGATTTCAAAAGGCTAAATTGCAGCAACAAAAATGTTTGGACTTTGGAATGACATGTTTGGAAAAGTTGAATGCCAGGAGTAGAAGCATTATATCATGTGATTATGGACTCTCAGACTTAGTCTATGATCGCCAGTAATGCCCTTCCAAAGCAGCATTTTTCTAGACTACCAAGCACTATTACAGTTCTTTCTGTGATCATGTAGGGAAACAAACAATGGGAGAATACACATAACACAGTAAGAAATAAAAAGCACATCTGTCTTTTTCTTAAGACCATGTATCTCTAAAAGTCTAATAAAAATCCCATAGACAGAAGAAGGGATATTTTAAATTATATATTTTGACTTTCTGCAAGCCTGGGGTATTGAGATTGAACTCCACACCATTTGGCTTGGAAATTAAAAAAGAAAAAATAAATCAAGTGTGCTGAATCTTCTTCTCCTTTCCCCAATAGAAGTTAGAGCTCAAAAAAAAAGATGATTACTGTTCTATGAGGGATGGTTAAATGGTTAACTTTACGTGTTTAACGTCATTCAATATTTTCATCTAGCATAATCACTGTAGAGGCAGAAAGTAAGTATTATAAAAGCCAAAAACAATGAAATATTGGAATTGAAGCTCTTAGGTCTTCTCTATTAAAACAGAACCAAAAATATGTTTTAACAAAAACCCTCTACATAGCACAACTGACAAATGATGGGAATCTGTAAATGATAGGGTAGTATTGCGTAGATACTGAACCTTGTAATTAAAAAGATAAGACAGCGAATTCCCCTCTGCCCTTCCTGTGTCAAGTAAACCCTGTGCAGAAAGCTACAGAAGCCTCTGACCCAGAAACCTCCATGAGTGCAACTGATAAAATCTCTATGAAAACCTGTTTTTTTTTGTTTTGTTTTGTTTTGTTTTGTTTTGTTTTTCTAGATAATGGGTCCGGGCAATTGGAAGTCTAACAATAGACAACCTTTGATGACAATATATATCTTATTCCAACAGGACACCAAATGAGTCTTTACCCTGTATCATTTGCCACACACTATTACAATGGATCCAAATTGGAAGCTGTTAGTCCATTGTCTCAGATGCAGAAACTAATGTTATAGTCTCATTCTTTGGCAGGATTAAGGTCAGTATGGACCTTTATGTTGAGCTAAGCCTTCACTGGCACTTAATCATGACATAGTCTTACAAAGACCTCTTGAGAATGGTTTATCATCCAAATGTGTTACCTTTTTTCTTTTCAACTGTGACAGGAAGACTTACTAGGAACCTGAACTTCTACCCGACCTTATATCAATGATACTTAACAAAGCACTTTTACTTTCAGTCATCCCTGGTATCAGTAGAATGCTGTGTTTCCATATCTAGTCATCAACAAAAAGACTGAAAGAGTGGGTAGCAGAACTATTCTTTGCCCTCAAGAAACAATGATCTTCCCATGAGTAGAAATTCAAGAAACTAAATGAATGAAAGTAGTATGTGTAGAAATAAATCCACGCCAAGATGCTACAATCAGAAAAAAAATGATGCAAACAGAGATGCAGTTTGAGTTGCTAAGAGAAAGTGGTGTAACATGAAGCATGACCAAAATACATGATATACATGTGTGAAGTTGTCAAATTGAAGCCCAAATTGTCATTTGATTTGGTTCTTGGTATAGGTAGAATACTTAAGACTTTAAGTAGGCAATGTATTTCTAGTACATGTGGAACATTCACAAAAATACATATATACTAGGTTGGAAAACAATCTAAAATCATATTCAATATTAAGTTCTTATGATATTTCACAAAATTAAAGGAATTAAATAAGAAAATAATAGCAAATTTTAAAGGAAAAGTTTCAAATACTAAAGAACACACTAAATGTTCCATGGATGAGAAAAACCTCAAAGGGTTGAAAATAGTGCATAGAAAGGGTAAATGTGAAAATATAAACTATCAAAATGAATAGTTAACATCTAAATCACTGCCCAAATTAAAGGTCATGAACAATCTTAAATTCTCATTTAAATAAAGGCAATAATAACACAATGCAAGCAGGAGGATATAATAAAGACTGAAGCAGTAATGAAATGAGGTGAAAATGACAAAGCAAGGAAATGATTAAAAGAAAGCTTTAAAATACTTAACTATTTTGACTTACTCCTCAGAAGTCTATTTGACATGAAGAGAATGAAATAGAAAACATAACTATAGCCCTTGTAGACTTCAAAGGTATGATAAGAGACTACTGTGAACAATCTTAGACACATAATTTAAACAAATAAGGTAAATGAATTGCTATCTCACACGTAATAATAAAATACCTTTTCTGCAATACATGTACTATATGTAACCTTATCAGTTACCAGTAAGCAAACCACATAAATAGAAGCTTGGGATGCTTGTATAACTATTAAGGATCTTCAATTCTTAATTTCTAATTACACAAAAGTGATATCCCAACATAGTTTCTGCTGATAATTATATTAGACTTTAAAAAAAACAGTACTAAATTTACACATTTTTCTTAAAACCTGAAAAAAGAGTACCAAGTTACTCAAGCTGCTGCAACAAAATGCCACAGTAGAGTAAATGTTTCAGACAATAGATATATATTTTCTTAGTCCCCGAGGCTAGTTCATGTGTCAAAATAGGTTTAGTTCAGATGGTTTATCCTCTTAGATTGTTGCCAAGTTGCTTTATCCAAGTGTACTCACATGGCTCT